TGCATGACATTCGTAAACACTGAATGGCACAGGTCGTTAGTCCAAAGACTTTCTGGATCTGAAGATGTTGGACGTCGTCTAAAACGGCTCGAGCTCCATTGCTGGTCCTTTTGAAATTTTCGAAATGAAATTCTTGTAAACTGAATGCTGTTGAAATACAAGTAACCAAGATAAACACTATGAAGTACGTTATAACAATCGTCATTTTCAAAGACGTTCCGTTGAATCCAGTCACGCAAACTGAAGGGTCTGCCTGTCTTACACAGGGACGGCAGAACAGAACCTTCCACAGAGAACAAAGTTACTGCATGTTAAGAAGGCACCTAACAGTCATTAATATGAGTTAGGATATCACTGTTGTCTTGATCATTGAATGATTTGCTTTGTCATAGTATTGATATATCATTGCCTGGTGATATTTTGGATTGCATTGTCTGCATATTTAATGCTGATACCAGAGTAATTGCTTTGCTGAAAGGACCTGTCTTGGTTGCAGATTGAATTGTCCGCGTTCTAATGATGTTTACTCCAAGCTGTTTCTATTGATTGTGATCGTCTCTCACAACGTCTGGGGGAGTTTGTGTACATTTTAGATTTCATTATTCCTTCTGACAGTGAAACGTTTTACACCAGTAACTCCTTGGGAGCACAATTCTTTCGGTCACGATGTCGGTCTCTGTCATATCAGAAAGGCAACGTCCAGTGTCACGGACAATGCCTTTACTAATGTTTAATGATATGTGAGGGGACAGGATTTGCGATTGGATCTGATTCCTACACTCAATGAGGAAAGAACCAGATCGCAGTTTTTTAATTTCTTTTACTTCCCCGGCCAAACCTTCAATGCCCTTTGCTACTGCAAAAGGGTTTAGCCTCAGAGGACCACCATCAGGTGCTGTCATGACAACGAAATGCAGCCAATTTTCAGTATTAATGAGAGCTACGGGAGCCTCCTCATCCGACAAGAACGAATCATCTGACTCGGCGTGACCAGCCGATTGATAGAACCGGGCCCATTCTACCGCCCGTCTAGGTGAAGTCGGGCGAAGTGGTGTGTTGGGCAAAGGAAGACTGTTCCTGGAACCAGTGCCCTCAACCACCAGTCTCCGTTCCTCCACCGACACAGGGGCGCAACCCACGGCAAACGGGTTGGTGGACCAAATATACCCTCGGGTCCACGGACGTGGGGGGTGTGGGGGGTGGTTAAGAGAGCGCTCAGCGTTTCCCAGCACCCAGGAGAAGTTGGTGGGAAAGGACTTTGCTTCTGTGTCCAAGAAAACGGAAAATTAATTCTTGAGACTTTGTTCGTGTTGGCCCACTGATTAGGTCCTGATCTGATGAATGCTGGTTGAACATTTAAGCTTTGTCGGAGGTTGCCTCCCTTGGTTCACAAATTAAAGAAACACAATTCAGTTGAATTTGTCAAGAATTATCTCATTAAACCCATTTAGGTGAATAAATAGTGATATGGAACAAGCAACAGTTTACTTTCCCCCCCGACAATTAATGTTCTATTCTATATCATGTCGACACTTGTGGAGAGCAACCTCCTCACTGTGAGTGCCAGGTAACACAAATAGCTCTTCTCCTGTGTTGCAGAATAGGTCCTCGGCACCCTGTTGCTGGTCGTAAGAGGTGACCGAATTGGGCAACCTGTTTGCCGTGGGTTGCGCCCCTGTGTCGGTGGAGGAAGGGATTCTAGTGTACCGGCCTGAGAGCTCCCATTATGTTGAAAATGTCTTCATAGATATGAAATCGTGTTTTGACGGACACCAAAATGTCTGGCCATTTCATTTCCCGCATACTTCTTTAAGCCGTGGCATGACGGACACGCAGTTAAAGTTGAAATGAAAGTTTTTTCCACAACATTCAGAAGGCAGAGAATAATCAACCATTACTCAATTCTCAATATGATGTGTGTGAATTTCAGGTGTCAAAATGCATGCCAAAAATGAGTAGGTTCATTGTGCACAAAGTGCACATGCCACGCATGATACTTGACATCAAACTGTATGCAAAGTGCTTTGCTACATGTTTATTTAAGTATATTTTTATAACTTTTCAAATACTTTTTGTATCATACAATAGATATCGTTCTCGGCAGGATAAAGCTAACGGATATTTTCGGTATCCGTTTGGGTCATATACGGATTATGATGCAAATTAGAGAGGTCATATGCACATTCTATGGTCTACTTTCACAGTGTAAACAAACATGGCGTCACGCCCATCTACCGACGAACGTGTCTGGATCGACGGTCGTGGTTACGGATCTGTCAGTTCTTTGATCCAAGAAACTTCATGTTTGGTAATGATGGTTGGATGAATATTTTTACGAAGCGAAGATAGAACTTCATAGGCTTACAGTGATACCAACACCACTTCCGCGACCGACTGTCAGGTTTCGGAATCCAGGTTACGTAACATATATTAAAGTGTATTTATTGTGCAAAAGATACAAATTTGCATCACCAAGCTTGTGACGTAACGTATTACTATGCACATATTTATGACGTCATAGATACACTTGCACATTCATGACTTTTGGCAATTGAAATCGCATTTTGTAAAATTATAAAATATGTACTCATCTCGCCAAGGCTTGCTAAATACAACGTTTATTCCTAATGCAGGAAATTACCCTACCGATAACACACTCACGTGATAACCTATAGTTATTCAATTTTATGTTACCGTTTTCTGTCGGTGTGACCAGCCGATTGATACAACCGGCCAATTCTACCACCCGTCTAGGTGAAATAAGGGTTGAAGTCTCTTCGCTGCTACCAGCGTACAGTGCTTGCCTAATGCAATCTGCGTTAAAGGTGTAGACGGATCAAGGCCATTCCACGGAAGGCCTGTTCGTCTGCTGATAGCGTGTCTTAATCTCTTCCGTACGTGGATCTGCCAGATGTAGCTGTCTTCGGCCAACGCCGTGACTCTTGGGTCTTCCAGATCTTGCGTCTGGCCTGTTTGCCGGAAGCGGTTTATCATTTGCTGATGTTGGTCTGGCTGCTTGTCAGCTGAAGTTCTGAAACCCCATATTGGCCGTACCGTTGAGCTTGCATACGTCTTTGGTTTTTGGTTAATGCACACCTGCTCCGTCCAACATCGGTGTTTATGCTACAATCATGCACGCGCATTTGGACCAACGTCACACAATTACGTTAATCGCGTTTTGCACAACTCATATGACTTTTTCGGACAGCTACATTGTTATCCGGACCACGTTGAAGTTAGGCGAGAGTTTTCTGCTTGAGTTCAAACCTGTGCCAGCGTTGTGATTTGTTTTATTTTATACAATTACCTTAAAAGTGATAATTTTCTTTTCCCCGGCAGTTCAGTAAGAAAAAAAATTTGTTTGGAAGAATGAATTAATAACTGAGTTTGTTACTGGCTATATCTTCAAAGGGGGTTGAAGCAGCAGAAAATAATTGTCCTCCTGCACGTATGTTGGTCCTAGGGCTGGGACGGGTAGGAAAAACTGGAATCGAGTACCCGGATGTACTTACCCGAATCGGAATCGAGTACCCGGAAGTGTAAGAAATACAACGCTTTCTGTCAACTTTCTGAATATCCAATCACGATTTGACAGAGATTGTTTTGGAGGAGTAGAAAGTATGGCAGTAAGTAACTGATCTTAGGCTATTTAATTTACGTCTGTTTAACTAAGATACAGAGTAACACCATTACGTACATTCCTTGTTAAAACACAGAACTTTTCGTTCGCGCTGTTACTGACAGTCTGTGACTTGACTACTCAGTGCTCATGCGCATATAAATTACAGTCCTTAATAATAACCTCCATTAACCGGACAGTACCAGTGATGTACATGTGTGTTACGTCAATAATGAAAGAGACAAGTTATTTTATCAACTAGCAGACAACTACCTTCAGATGTGATATTCTAACTGAACCTATAACATTTTTCATGTAGACTTTATGTAAACTTACATAGAATAAAATTTGATTGATGTATTTAGTACCATTTACTGACTGGAGAATTCTATACGAGATAGAGACAGGCAAACTGTACAGCAGTTGAGTTAAGCTACATAACAAAATGTTTCGCTCGTATCAGGGAAGACTGGTTATTTGCATTACAGTTTGCCTATTATACATTACAGAGTACAGACTAATACAGAGCCGTGAATAACTTATTAACCGTTTATGAAATATCTGCAGTGATTTAACTTTATATCTTTATCCTTCCACAAGATATTTAAATGTTGCATGGAAATGCGTTTGTTTGAAAAAACTTTTGCTATTTCAATATTCTAAATTTTATGTAAGTGAATATTGCGTATCTTCATTGGAATAACTGTTTGCTGATTATTATTTGTTAAACTATAATATGTATAGTAACTGAATGGTAGTATATGTGAGTTACGGGAGTTGTGCTTCTATTTCTGATCATCGTTCTTCTTAATGTAATGATAACCAATCGAACATTGTATTTACATCCCAGGGTGTGCTCTTTCAATAGACGTTCGTTTTAATATGCTAATTCAATGTTTTATTGATCTCCCATTCCCTACAATCTCTGTAATAGTGAATGGATTTAGGTTTGACGCAAAAGTAAAAGCTGTCTCATGAAATTGAAATAAAATAGTAACTAAAGACAAAATTCAGCGTAATCTTAAGAGATTTTAATGAATTTTCTTAACAAGCATAGTGAGTGAACAAAATGAACATAGTTAATGAACATAGTTACTCAATGTAAGGAACGCGTTTATCTCACTAGTGATGAACTCGAGAATGGATCGTATCTCACTGATTCAATCCGAATCTTCAGCAGACTGGAGGTTGGGGAGGGTGGGAGGGTCATCTTTCGGCTCGGCTTTAACGTCAAGAGGCAGAGCAGAAGACGTCGACTGTGTCGTGGATGCTGCAGCAGCAGAGCCGGGGACAGTGTCAGATGATTTAGACATATTCTTATTCAGGAATATTATTGCATCGGCTGTCTTCGGATCAAGTGCTGCCCTCTGGTGTGTAATGGTCATGCCGGCAGTAGGGAAGCCCGTTCTGAGGGAACGCTGGTCCCGGGAATACTCAAATATTGGTGTGCAAGAACAGGTAGCCTCGGGAAGACGACTTTATTTTCCCGCCACCAGTTCAAGGAGAATGAACTGCCTCTGATAAGAGAGGCTGACAACTTGTTGGAGGCTGCTTGAAAGTCGCTATAGTCCTGCTTGGCGGTCCTGTCTGAGACATCATCCGAGATTTCAATTATGTCCCCCAGTAGGAAGGACATTGCCTTCTGACTTTCAGAGAACTTCACCTTTTTCTTAGGTGACGGCAAGATCTCCTCCTCCTGTTTGACCTGAACTTCGCTGACTCCGGGAACACTGTTATCATCCTCGGGATCTCCACCTTCAGCTTGAGCATTACCATTGATGAGGGATACAATGTGATCCTGCAGTTGTTCCCGCTGGTTGTCCTCCAAGAAGCGAAGGTTCTTAAAGCATGGGTCGAGGGCTGTAGCAAATCATTGGTGGGGACAGAAAGAAGTTGTCTTTGAGCAATCTTGACTGAAGACCATCTGATATTTTCTTTTTGACCTGTGTGATGACAGCCACATCGAGATCAGACGGCAGCAGGTGTTTCTTCATCAGAGCGAAGACAAGAGGATACACGCCTGCAGCTGTAGGAAACTGCTCGCTGCAGAGAACTTCAGTTGCTGATACCAAGGGTTTCAGACAATGAACTAGGTGCTCCATCAGGGCCCAGTGAGCATCTTTTAGTATCAGGGACTTATGTTTCTTGTCATCATGAAGAACTGTAACGACATCAGCGTGTACTTCAACCAACCGCTCAAACATGAAATAGATGGAGTTCCATCTGGTGCAGACGTCACTAATGACGTGTTTGATGGGTTTCCCCAGTTTTTTCTGCACCTCCTCCAGGTGCTGTGTGGCCACAAGTGATTTTGAAAAGAAGGAGACAAGTTTCCTTGAATGAATGATGACATTGTCAACAGCATCTAGCTTGAGTGCATCTCCGACTGCAAGCTGCAATGTATGAGCGAAACATCGTACATGGGGGTATTCAGCCATCCTAGCTGCTACTGTCATGTTGCTGGCGTTGTCTGTAGTCAAACCCGAGACCGTTTGGATTTTGAATTCTGATTGTATTCCTTTCAGGATTTCCGCTATGTTTTCCCCACTGTGACGCTCTTCTACCCGCCTTGTGGCAATAACACAAGATTTCAGCTGCCAGTCACTTGTCAGATAATGACCTGTTACAGTAATGTAGCCATGTGTAGCGCAACTCGTCCACATATCTGTGGTTAGAGCAACTCCCTCCGTGGACTTGAACGTTTCAGTCAAAACAATTTTAGCATCTTCAAATGTTTTCATCAGATAATTATGCATTGTTTTTCGACAAGGAACTTCATAGTTAGGGTTTAATGCAGCGCAAAAACCTCGGAAACCTTCGCCCTGTACGATATTCAGCGGCCTCAAATCTCTCACACACATAAGCATGGCCTTGCTTGTGATGTTTTCATAGCTTTCCTTCGTAAGAACTTTCTTGGCTGTGAATGTAAGTGTGCTTTGTTTCTTTGTCGCTTTTGACTCTGTTTGAATCAAAGATCTGTGTTTTAGTTCAAGATGCTTGTGCATCGAACTTGTACTACTTCCGCAGTAGGTTAGCATGGTACCACAGAGTCGGCATTTGGTTTTCTTACCATTTGCATCCAGCTCAAAATGAGTCCAAACACTCGACTTAGCACGCTTGCCGTCCATTTTGCGCTAGGTTAGAGTTACCTGCCCTTGCCACTACAGAGTTCTCTCCCCTTCCGGGTACTCGATTCCTAGAAATAGGACTCGAGTCCACCTGTACCCGACCCGGATTCGAGTACCTTGAAAGAACCCAGAACCAAAACATAAGTTCTCCTGTAGGCATGTATTCATTCAGATCTGATTTCAAGTTACTTCGAAGTCTAATATACGCCTTTAAAGCCAGTAAGTGAACTGCTAGTGTAGAAGGTCCTGGTTCCATACGAATTACCATCAAAGTCTTCGACATCCACAAGGCCCTCTATCTTATGATCGGGTTGATGGCCTTCGTCTATCATAAACATACCCTGACAGTCTCTCACCATCCACTTTTAGGGAGAGCAGCTGCATTCAATAACAAAGGTGACTGAATATCTTGATTGTTTGGGTGGAGGATCATGTCTCCCATAGGATCACATCCCGCACACCAGCCTCCATAAAACCAGATCAATGATGGCCCCATCATGCGTCCGGGTAATACTGTGCACTTTGGACGCGTATCCTTCTGCAGTCAAGTTGAGCTGCATATGAATAGATTCCTTTTAAAACAGCCCATCTTTCTATTCATGAGAATGTTCCCTAGCTTATACACGCACACACAGACACGTGCGTGCGGACATATGTCATACTTTTGAGAATGAGTTACTTACATCAGTGGCGAATGTCATTACTGTACCCAGTGTGTCGATGTGAAAGGTGCCTATTCGTTTGCAGTTTTCAGAAAAAGAGTAACAATCTTCTGCCCAACCAAACTGATGTTGCTTCGTCTTGTTCCCGCTTGTGAAGGTGGTGTCAGTTCTCACAATAGTCATTGCCTGAAGCACAGAAAACAAACATCTGTTCAGAAATGTGCCATTACACCCGAAGAACACAAAGGTTTCTACATGTTTTTATGGTTTACAGTTTAAATGTTGAATAGAATGAAGTAATCCTTTCTCACAATTCCTATTCAAAATAAATATATTGAGTGAGTGAGTTAAGATTTTAAGTCACATCGGCAATATTTCAGCCATATCGTGACTAAAACAAAGTATAGATTTATAATGATTAAATATTATAAACACCTGTCAACGAAGGACAGTAAAACAACTAGTATATCACAGATATATATGTAAAACTAGTAATTAAAACTAAAACAGTTTAACTATGGAGGACGTTAAAACATTGGAACTAGACAAGGCGATACAATATAAAAACAGGCTATAGATCGCCAACAGCTGAAGGTAGATCAACATACTAGGGACCATGGGGACTTACAGTACCTTTGCAACCTGCATGGACCCCAGTTGGATGCATACCATCCCTTCAGCCCCTGGCGATTGTATGAAAATTTAGCCATAATTAAAAGAACATATATACTACGATTAAGAATAATAGTAGTATTAAACTGACATTGAATGCTTTCGGACCTACGTACCCTCTCAAGAGGACAATAATTTTACAATACTTCAACCCGCTTAGAGGGTACAGCCACTAACAATCTCGGTTACTAATCTAAACTACCAAAGATAAAATATTTATCTATATACGAACCATTTATAAAAATGTATTGAGTAATTCTATTTCTTTTAAAAATTCAATAACTAAAATGATAATTGACTTTACTGAAAAAAGATCCTTTACAATCTTAACATTGAAATATTTATCCCTTGTGATGGAAAAATCAATAGAGTCAAGCCGGACATGCTTGACCGTGATCCCGTGATACAAAACGGAGGATCTTCGCCTTTTAACAAATACTCCTGAGTATGTGTACTATGGCCAATGCGACATCGTCGCATAATGACCTCTTCAAATCTTGACTGACAACCTAAGTAGGTGTAACCGATAGTTGGTTTATTTTCATGTAATTTATACCTGCTTGAGTGTCCCACTTCTTTTGCATTAGATCACGGATATCTAATAACAACTTTGTAATCAGAGTATGGAATAAGAAGTGGTGTCACAGATTTGTTGAATGCTGCCTTGGCAGTAAAGTCGGCCATTATGTTACCGGAGATTCCATCGTGGCTTGCTAACCAACAAAAGACGATGTCACTGTAAATAGTGGTGACAGGCAGCAAGATCATTATATAACTCAATTATTTCGATTAAAGCGGATGTTTGCACGAAAGATTTTTTATAGCCGGAAGGCAAGAAAGAGAATCTGAAAATATGATATATTGTTTATATTTAGTGCGTGTATTTATATATTTAAGAGCTGTTAGAATCGCGTTTGCTTCTGCTGTGAAAATTGAACTGTAATTTGGTAATTTGGAAGATATTGTTTTGGACCCAATGACAGTGGCACAAGCCACTGCACAACCATCCTTTGGATCGATCTGTGAATATGGATTTATATGTATTGTATTTACGTTTTAATTGATTAAATTCTTGTTAGGGCTCCTTGCCATTAGGCAGGAGACCTATTGTAATCGTTCGTGTTTTTATTATTATTATTATTATTTATTCTTCCGCCGTATTTTGTACCAGAGCTACAGAGAGCACCGCTGGACAGAATGCCTTGACAAAAATCACCCAGATGCCCACCGAGGTGTACATATCGCGCTTTAAAATCTCTAGGCTGTAGGCCCAATAGCAAAGGGCAAATAATTCAAAATTAATTCAAAAATTTCAATTTCAAAATGCAAATATCTCCAAAACATAATGCCCAATGTGTGCCAAAGTTCTTGAGCAGATGCGCAATCAAAATGCCTCGCAACTTCGCCTGGACGGCTCAAGTCGCTAAAATGCACCTCGTTTAGCCGCTATTTTTGATTGAAGTTTTTGGTGATGTTTTTCAGCAAAATGCTGACTACTTTCCTCCCAAAATGTGCTGCACTGAAACTTCAAGAGCTTGCTGGCTTCTTCAAACTTTGCAGTATACTTTGTGTCTATGCACCTTACTAAGTACAGTAGCATCGTCAAAGTGGCTATGTGTATTTGATGGCCGCCATGTTGGACGCTACTTCTGCAAGCAAAGTTGTCTTCAAAACTTTCACGGGCTTCTTTTTGCCATTTTGTGCCAAACCAAACTTAGCACATACACTTTAAACGTTTTGAAAACTTTACTTATTCATTAATTTATGTCACCTCTGACGAGTGCCATCAAAGTTGCTGATCAAAACATCTGTGCAACATAATCCATGTGAATACAGCGTATGGCTAGTTAAAAGGGAAAAGCTATTTGAGACGTTCCCCTCGAATGAAAGAAAAGAGTGCCAAACAAACTGACCCTCATTTCCAGTGTAAGATCGCACCAAAAATCACGCAAAGAGACTGGTTAACAACGTACCAGTCATCATAAATGATACTCTTCACTGAAAACCCCAAAGTTTGATGACAGATTTAATAAATAAGGACTTCTTTTATATCACCGACGGCCCAGGACATACACTGCCGAATGTGTCATAAGTTTCTATCGATATTTACAGCACGGCAGATTACCCGTGCAAAACATGCGACAGTCTGAGCTGAAAAGCGCAAGGACGATATATCCTATAAAGAGACTACGCTTCACTGCAAAGCGTGGTCCACGATGCAGATATGGAGACGATGCTCAATTTCAATTGAGTTAATGACGAGAGCTAGCGCTACACAAAATTAAAATACACTGCAGTAGAGGTGCTATTCCTTCATTGTAATCTCAATCTTTTGTAAAGGGGTATGTCTTTAGGCAGCTTTTAAAGATTGTCAATGATTGAGCGTTCCGGTGTCAGGAAAAATTGTAGCTGTGGTCTAAAGAGTACTCTGGTCTAGCTGAAGTAAGCGCTAGTAAAATCGTTCAACAACGACCAGGCGCCGGCTTTGCAATGCCCGAAGAGTAATACGTTTTTGCTAACAATTCGTGCTGTTTGCATGGATTTTGAAAACTTCATAGGTGACCTGTATCGCGGTGTTACGTGTATTTACAGTATATATACCTGCCTTTGATTCACAAAACCAGTTGCAACAGCCCGAGTGTAACAGTGTAATGGATACTGATACAAAACTTCTGAAGTACCTTAACTGCTCACTTGCGTGCTGGAGTGAGGTAGAGTTTAGTTTTACGCCACACTCAGCAATATTCAAGCTGTATGTCCGCGGTCTGTAAATAATCGAGTCTGACCAGACAATCCAGTGAGTATCAGCATGAACACTGATCTGCGCAATTGGGAACCGATGACATAAAGTCAACTAAGCTCAGCGTGAGAGAAACAGTGTTGTGGATATTGGTACATGCTACAGCATAACTGCAGAGTACGGGCGCTTTGTGTCACATTTCAACTTGGCTGTTGTTGATATTTAAATGGAAATTAAGTATCTACACTCACCTGAAAATAAACACCAAACAACTACATTTTCAGGTAAAAGAAATAAATCATTAGCATTTCTGAACATACATTATTCTTTTCCCTTCTGATCTCTAATCAAGCCAACAGCTGTTTCCAATTACCATATACCATGGCAACACAACTTTGTTTCTAACCCTAAAATACATAAGAATTCAATTTACTACTGAAGTATTTCTCATTACTGATAGTGATATGATCCATATCACAGCTATAGCCTTTATTGCTTTCGACATCTGCATGACCCAGGTACCTAAAATGGCTAGAAGTTATCCAAGTCAAGGAGTCCTCAACGTTGCTTCTGCAACTTTTAATTTATATTGTAATTCATTAGTTTCTGATTTTAGATGCTGTTAATGTGGAAGTCGACTAGGTCAAAGAAAGAAGACTGGAAGGAGCTATATTTTCCAGCATAATGCCAACAGCAGAAGGGAAAGTTTCTAATTCTTATACCAAGAGGTGGAACAAAAGATGACTTCTGTTATACAGATCCTCACAGAGGTGATTAAAGATACAGTTATATGTGCAGGGTTTGACCTTGAATATACGTTGTTTTGTTATATACTGTAAAGCCAATTTTGTATGACATACAGACTGTCAATATAGGTGAAGCTCTAAAGGACCCAAGACAAATTCTCAGACCTTGGTGGTGGACAG